CTCCACTCGGGGAGCATGCGCAGATCTGGGGGGAAGGGGTGTTACATATTCATTACATACTTTACATAGAGACCCTTGCAAAAGGGCCAGCAACAGCTCTGCTGCGCCCTGATTGGCTAGGACGCAGCAGAGGCTGTTGCTAGCCGTACTCTGTTCCTGATTGGCCGAGGTACTGCGTCAGCAGTTGCTGCCCAGTCCTCGGTCACTGATTGGTTGTTAACTTGTTACAGTCTAAGTATAAATACCTTGGCGCGAGCTTGCCTATTTTGAATCACTGTCAGTTCTTTTTCGTGTTGAATAAACTCGTGTTGTTGTTCTAACCTGGCTCTCGTGTCGTTCCTGCCTCGAACCTCAAAACTGGCGACAAGGGTGGGATCCAGCGATTCCCGCAGAGCCTAGGTTGAAGAGAGAGAAGAATTTTAGCCAGCCGCACAAGCCGCGATCCCTCGCCGGCACGCGAACGCTGGTGGAAGTGTTTTTTTTTTCTCTTGTCCTTCTCTCTGCTCCGTGCTATTTCTTCACACTACGTGCCACCATGGCATCAGCACTACCTCCATTCGCTCCCTTCGGATCGGCTGGGGAAACCTGGGAAGGGTTCATGGAGCGCTTCGAGTGCTACGTCATCGCGTCCAAGAACCATGGCCAGCCAGAAGAGAAGTGCAGTTTTTTTCTTTCCTGCTGTGGGCCCGCGATGTTCGTGTCGGCCAGAGCCCTGGCCGCCCCGCGGCCCGCTTACAAACTGGGGTGGGACAATCTAATGGCTAAACTCAAAAGCCACTACGCCCCTACACCATCTAAAATAGCACGACGTTTTGCCTTCCGCCGCCGCATACAGAAGCTCTATGAGTCCATCAGCCAGTTCCTGGAATCGCTTCGCACAACAGCAGCGCAGTGCGATTTCCAAAACCTAGAGGAGAACCTGGTGGAGCAATTCGTATGCGGCGTGCGAGATGTCAACTTGAGAAGCCGGATGTTCAGGCACCAGGACATCACCTTGCTGCAGGCCGTGGAGACTGCCAGAGCAGCCGAGCTCTCTGAACAGTCCACGGCTGATATTGAGCGTCTGCAATTGGCTTCGCCAACGCCTGCCCAGATGTCTGCTGGCCTCCTTCTCAGACGTGCCAGGTAGATGAACTGCCACCCCCGGAAGACCCTTCGGACGAAGTCGTGGGGCAGTTAAGGGCGCACCCTAGGCGCAACCCTCCACCACCGGCAGCTGCACCTCCTGCCGCTGGTTCTGCGTGCCTTGGCTGTGGCGGCCGCCATGCCCGCACAGCCTGCCCTTTTCGCAGCACGACCTGCCGCCGTTGCAATAAGCAGGGGCACATCGCTCGAGTGTGCAGGGCCTCTCTGCCTGCCCCTTCTTTCTTGCAAGCCACTGCACAGCCCCAAGCGCAGCCGCGCCGCCAACCGCCGCGGCCCGCTCGGCGGGCTGAAGACTGCCACACGATCTACCAGCCGCACGCCGTTGAGGGCTCGGTGAGCCAAGCCTCTGCAGGAGCCTGGAAAGTTGCTGCCACGGTCCAGCTGGAAGGTCAGCCTTGCCTGATGGAGGTGGACTCGGGCTCTTCCCGCTCCCTACTTTCCTGGGCTGCCTTCTCCCGCCTCTGCCCCAAGGTCTCCCAAGCCCAGCTCCTGCCGGCTGATACGACCCTATGGGACTATCAGGGAAACCTCATCCCCACTCTGGGGTCCTTTCCCATTTCCGTAGCTTACGGCTCCTTCCAGGGGAAATTGCCTATCCTAGTAGTTAAGAAGTCACTGCCTGCCCTACTAGGTCTAGATTGGTTCCCTGCCTTGGGTCTGTCCATAGGGGGGGTGCACCGGGTGGTATCTTCCTCCCTGGAGGGCATCCTGTCTGAATTTGCGGATGTTTTTGATGGCCAATTAGGCTGCTACAAGGGCACCCCCATCTCCCTCAGCCTCGACCCTCAGGTTGCTCCTATCTGGCTCAAGGCCCGCAGGGTGCCTTTTGCCTTAAGGGCCAAGGTTGACGCCGAGCTTGACAAGCTCCTGGCGCAGGGCGTTATCGAACCCGTGGATCACTCTCGCTGGGAGACCCCAATTGTCCTCCCAGTCAAGCCGGACAGGTCGGTGCAGATCTGCGCCGACTACAAGTCGACGATCAACCTGGCCCTTCAGGCAAACCCCTATCCAGTCCCTGTGGTGCAACACCTGCTCCATTCCTTGGGGCAGGGTTGCATATTTGCCAAACTGGATATGGCGCAAGCCTATCAACAGCTCCCGGTGGATGACGATGCGGCGGCTGCCCAGACCATCGTCACCCATCGTGGGGCTTTCCGTTGTCGCCGCCTACAATTCGGTGTGTCCGTGGCCCCGGGGATCTTCCAAAGTCTCATGGAGCGCCTGCTCCATGGGCTACCGGGGGTAGTTCCATATTTCGATGATGTTCTGATCGCTGCAACGAGCCGCTCAGAACTCATCGAAATATTAAGGAATGTCCTCTGTCGTTTCAGGGGCGCGGGATTAAAATTAAAAAGCAGCAAATGCTCATTTGCTGTCCCTAGGGTAGAATTCTTGGGCTTCTT